TATTTAATAGTTACTTTTATGAGATAAATATTTTCATTAATGCAAATATATATTTATATTTGGGTAGGTATTTTGTATTTAAATTAAAATACTATATATGTCACAAATGTATTATCAAGTTAACAAGATCTTCTAACTTCAAAATATATTATTTTAAAATGTTCCGAGTTTTTTTTTTTTAAAAAAAAACTCACAACCAATGTTAAAATATGTGAATATATAAAATTTAGTTGTTCTCTTCACATATTTATATGACATCTAAACAATTTAACGTAAAATACACATGCAAAGCACATCTGGTTAGATGACAAGAAAAATACAAAGCAAATATGGTCTATAAGGTAATATTAGTGAGATAAGACTAATATTACATGATTAACCTCATCAAATTGAAATAAATATATACATTATTGCATTTTACTAATAATTTTTTTTCATTGACCATCTTCATAGGTTTGAGTGAATAAGAAATATATATAACGATCCACGTCGAACATTCACAAAAGAAACTGCAATATTATTTTTTGCTAAGCTTATTATTCAACTCTTCGGTTAAATAAGCAATACTATTTACTATAACATATATTTTTAGAATTGGTAATCACGTGCAACGCACGTGTCATCTAACTTTTTGGTTCGGTTTGGTTATTTTTGTGGTTGTGTTTTAGTAAAATCAAAATCAAACCAAATAGTATCGATTTTCAAAATTTAAAACCAAACCAAACCAAATATCGGTTTTTTAATCGGTTGGTTCGAATTGCGGTTCGATTTGGTTTTTTTAACCATAACCATGAATAAGCCTACCTATCCCTACCCCACCTCTCATAGTATGTATTTAGATTGCATACACATATTTTTAGGACAATATTTTTTTGTTTATGTACCGAACACGTAAAAATAAGTAACAAATTATGTTATTCTCGTAGCAAACATTTCCTTTGTACAGAACACACTCCTAAAAGGCTTTAAGTAGAACAGATGTTCCAATCCTATAAAAAATAATTCACATTTTGAAATTGAAACTTCAATGCCACAATCTATTACTTTCAATATCAATAGTAACTAAAAAAACTCAGATATTTAGCTACCAAACAGGAAACTACAATTCCACTTCACCTTCCATCTCTCATCTACCTTCCATATCTACCAATCCAAGAGAGTTTGGACATCAATTGATATTATCTCCGATGCGGGAAAAGATCTTTTTAAAAGGCATCTCGACGAAAGAGGACTGAGAATCATAAGGTGAGCGCCAAAACGCTAGCACAAACTGCTCCCACAGAGACTCATGATAAGAGGGTGTGGGGACAACCGGCCACCACTTTTACCAGATATGGGTCCGGGCGACCCAAGAGCCCGCCACTAGAACCCAACCCTTTAGAGGCTAAGGTCCAAGGGGCTACCGCAGGAAGTAAGCTTCACCTAATACAGAAAGTTACCCGGAATTCTTATCAAAATCCCAACAAAGAAAAACCTCAAGACTTGATCTAAACATTTAAGCCCCGACTCAAATTCAAAGAGAAAATGATAATTGAGAAGGTAGAAGTACCACATAAGCACGCTATTGTTGTTTATGAACATATTCAAAGAAGCAGAACTTTGTTGCTTCATCCAACACAAAGGAATCTGAACTTGCTTTATGAGAAACCAATCTATTCGTTTTTCTGTATTTCAAATTTCAATTAAGCAATGGTTCTTTCTTTTCCAGATTCTGTATGGAAAACTTAGCAATTTATAGAAAGAAAAGGCATATCTATTACAGAAAAAATAAGAGGAAGCTTATGTATGTTATCATACAGATATGAAACTAGAGGTACAATGAATTATCACACTTTCAGGTTAACATGTAGAACCCCTATATCATTTAATAGTTTATTTTCATGACCCATAAAATCACAATACACTGATCTTTATAGAGAAAGAATTGCAAATTCTGGCCATCATCAAAAAAAGAAGAAGAAAGAATTGCATCTCTGGGCTATAAATATCTGATATTGGTTTACGGAGGAATGCACACACACACAAAATATTAACGACAACGCAATGCATTTAAAAGCATAAATTATTTGCATATCTGGGCAGACTGGAAACCAAAAACTTCAGATAGATAACAAGAAATCATGTTAATAAAGTTGGAACTGTATTATACCCCAACAAGAAAACATGTGGACGAGAATTGATGATATCTTTAACCACATTCAGCGATATATATTTTGACAAAAGCTGTTTGAGGTTTTGGTTCCTCTGTCAAGAAACTAGGACTAGTAATATTTTGTGCAGAGAATATACAGTTGTTCTACATTGGGTAAAAAGGGATTTTGCGGAACATTCAAATTTCATAGAAGAAACACAATTTTTGAGCAAATAAATTGAGTCATATCAGATACAAAATTTAAAAATATTCATTGGGTTTGACATTTGGGTTTAGAAATAGGAAAAGGAGGCAACCGCAAGAGAGCTTCCTCAGTCTCAATTGGGTCTGATCTGAGTATCTACAAACATAAATAAACAAAGGTTAATTGAGAAGGAGGTTAATAGAGAATGAAATGGAGAAGTTAACGCTTACTGGGTCTTGAAGAAGTGGCTTTGTGTCATCTTTTGCGTGTCTGAAAGCGGGTTTTGTCATCTTCTTCACTTCGTTTTTACCATTAACGTTCATGCTTGATTCCTCGCCGCCCTTCATATCCTTTTATGCTTACGATCGTTTCCAAATTACAAACAAAGAAGCACACACGCTCAATTTATGACTTTGATGACTTCATTTTCTAACATAATATTTTCTTATGGTTCCGACTTGGGCTAATGAAAAAACGTTCATTTACGTAAGAAAAAATATATATATATTTCTAGAAAACCCTTGTATAGATATATGATATCATTAATATTATAAATTAATAATTCTTTAAAAATATAAATATATCTAAGACAATTTAGTGAAAGACAATTATATTGTATTTTTTTTGTTAAAATATAAATCTAGTTGAAACACATCTCTAACTTTTCTTATTGCATCCAAAAATTCTAGTGTTGCCACTACTGCAAATGTTTTTGAGTGCATGAGGAATGATCTCTTTTGTACAAACATGATGATTTTGTGATACCTTTTAAATGAGAAGTCATTTTTTGGATATGATTTCAAGAATTTTCCTATGTTTCTCATATGGTTTTTCTCTCACTGTCATACATTGAATATTTTTAATAAAAATACAATGAATAATATTTAATTATTAAGAAACAATAAACATTATGTAATGAATTTATTTTTATAATGAATCATTGAATTCTTAAATTTATTTTACAATAAATCATTTAACAAAAAAAACAGTATAATGAATCTGACACTTACATTGTACTTTAAGTGTAATGAAATTATTTTTTTATATAAATTTAATATATGATACATAATTTAGTAAGATACAATGATTTTGAGTATTTATTGTACTTTATGTATAATAAATCTATTTTTCTATGTAAATATAATAAACATGATACATAAATTGGTAAGATACAAATATTTTGATGTAAGCAAAATTAACCTTCTTTGAATCTCAAAATACTCTTTTAATTAATAAATATTAATTTATCGATTAAATAATATATACAAAATAATAATATTTCATGGTCCCATCTATATTAATTTTGTGAGATTTTACTTTACTCATTACCCATGTCATTTATTTTTTATCCAATATTGACAATTTTTATAATAGATAATCAATTAAATATTTTTAGTATTTTTTTAAATATTTAGCGAATATATATTGGTTACATTTTAAATTACTTAAAATTAATGAGAAAATTATACGACTAAGTAAATATATACTAGTTAATTATTCAATATAGCTATAGTTTAAAAAAAAGTTTTCGCCACTAACATATAACCATATTTATACGGGCCACGTCCAAAATTTCTATGATTCAATTTTCTAATTGTATAAATCCAGAATTTGTATATGTTTACCATATTTATATACGATTTGCTGATACATTTGATTTGTATAAGTTACGAAAATCATACTTGTATAAATTTAGAATTTGTATATAATTATTCTATGTGTACATGATTTGTTGATGCATTTGATTTGTATAAATTCTGAAAAATTCCTAAATATATAAATACAAAATTTGTATATACTTACCATGTTTGTATATTTGGCATGCGAAATATACAAACGAAAATACTCATAGCAAACGAAACTATAGCTATGATGCGTAATTAGACAAATTATAGCTAAGAAAAGGCTTATTAAATTTAATCTTTTGCTATTTATGAAATTTCCCTCATTACTACTTATATTCGATTCAAATTAACTTAACACAATCGATTAAAATAAATACACCCTTCATTTCTAGCATTTCACTTTATCTGCCCAAATAGGATTCATTCTTCAAACTAAGACCAATCGATCAATCTTACCCACCTAATAATTCAGGCAAAAATGGGTAATTCAATTTTCTAATAGACTTGTTAATTCTGTGACTAATTCATAATTTAATATTTTAATAAATAGAAGTTAAAAAGGGAAAATATAGCTTCAATAGTTTTGATTCCCAATATAAACCCCTTATGGTCGAATTTATCAATCGATTAACATTAGGTTAATCTTCTAATAAAAAACCAACCTTCTAGAATGAAAATATAGACCACTCTCATTCACGTGCATTGTTTGGTTAAAGTCCTTTGAGGACAAGAAGTAGAAAACATTTAGAGCCACAACTTTTTATAAGTTGTAATTGTTGAAAGTCAATCAACTACTAATAATCTCTTTAGGTTATGACCCCCACCCCACCCGTCACCCACCACAAAAAAATAGAAAAATAATTTAAATACACAACTTATTTACTATAGTCTCTTAAAAAATTATTATTAAAAAAAGTTACAAAAATTTATATTCTCTTATATTCTCGGATACATCACTCTTACGTGACGTATCAGGACATGTGTGTCTTGTATCAATAAAGGTAATGTATCGGGACGCGAATTATTGGGACGTTGAGTGATGTATTGGGATAGGTGTGTCTTGTATCAACAAAGGTAATGTATTGGGACACAATGTATCATACGTTGAGTGATATATTCAAAACCGGAACACGATGTATCGAGTTTTGAGTACTGTATCCAAAATTCTTAAATTATAAGGGATTTGTAATTTGAAAAAGAATAGGGATAAAATGTAATTAGCTCTTACCACTATGAGATTTGGGTAAAATATACTCATGTAGCTTAATTATATATTTAAGAAAAAAGAAGAAGAGAAATTTGTAAAACTCACGAGCTATCAAAATATGTTATTACCGATATATATAAAATTTGTAAAGGAATATTTTTAATAATAAACGAATAAACAAAAATAAAATAAAATAGTGTCACTGAGAATATATTGCTTCCAAACACTGATGCTAAACTTTATTTATAAACAAATTTTAATTTGTAAGAATTAAAACAGAACTTTCTTTTCATGAAGTCAAAAGATCAAGGCAGAATGGTCTGGGAGACCCTCGTACTTGTCTCATTTTGTCACCTGAGCCCTTCTAATCTAGACTTTGCCAACTAAACCCTCGAACCCACTGAAATCCAACATTTTAAACCCTTTTTTTGACCACTCAGTGGTGCGTGAACTACAAACGCCACACGTAGCTTTCCACGTAATGTAAAAATGCCACATAGGATATGACATGTTAAAAATAGGCTAATCCTTTTCTTTCAAACATTTCTTTCCTTTCTC